AGGGACAAGAGAGAACAGGGAAGAGAGAGGTAGCTAGAAAAGCAGGAAGAGGGATTGGAGAAAAATCATGGGATTATATATTGACAAATGGTAGCAGCAAATGCAGATGATAGTTAAGAGACATCTTTTTGTGAAGGTTGAACATACGGTCCTCAGCCTTCAAGCATGATGCTTCAGTCTCAAGAGCCGCTTTATTTTCTGGGCACAACTCAAATGCTATTGTTTTGTGACCAGGCCATAGTTACAATCTGTATGCTGAAAGGCAGCATCTTTGCCCTCCTTGAGCTCTGGCTGGGTGAGGTGGGGAGGAGAAGCCACAGGCAGCCAGTCACCGCTCAGATGCCTGGCCTCAGAAGCACTTACTGCTGAACAGACACAGCTTGAAGATGCTGGTGTAAAGTCCCTCTGAAGAGAAGATGACATAGCAGTGAATATGCCAGCTCAGGATGTTGGTTCATAAGTGGGTGGCTAGTCTGGATGTGGCTTTCATAAACCCTTAATCCTGAGGTCACAGATTTCCTTTTCCAGTAGCTTGCTGCTTCCCCGCAGGGCAGCCCAGCTCAAGTGTAGTTCTGCAATTCTGACCACAGGTGGGGCTGGAAAAGCGGACTGGTTTAGGGCTCCGTCCTCCTTGCTCCAATACCAACAGAGGCTTTGCTGCTGAATCATTTCCAGGGCTAGACACTACTTAAATCCCAAAGAGATTTGGGTCCCTTAGCCTGACTCTGATCTTCTGAGGTCTCCACAGAACTCCGAACGAATTCATTCATGTCAATGAAAAACAGCAAGAGTTGAGAAAGGTTTACAGTGGCAGTGCATTTTCTTTGTGTTTGAGAGTTGCTTCCTTTAATGAGTTAATTTTTTTTGTTATTAGAGAGTTGTATTAGAGTTATCTACTTAATTTGCACTGCAAGAAAGAACTGTGGGAAATGAGGGTATGTTAGAAGTTGCACTGTTTGATATGCAGATGAAAAAATGTTTCCTGTCATCCTATTTTCATAGCTAAGTCTTTGGTTTTGCTTTGTTTTCTGCAGCTATTTCATGCTGTCGACTGCCTGGCAAAGGAGAATGTCCGGTTGCTTGTGCTGGGCCGCAAACACATGCTGATTAACTCTTCAAATTGGAATCAGGAGATTATGAAGGAGATGCAGAATAAGGCAGACTTCTTCTTTGCTGAAAATATGTAAGTTGAAGAAAATGGCTAAACTTAATGGAAATCAACTTTTGAATTATGTGCATTTTAAATCAGTATAAAGAACTGTGGGTTTTAGTACGATTACTACTGTCTCCAAGTCTGCATGCATAAAAGAAAGGCGTATCCCTTGCTCTGTTTGCTTCAGTAACCAATACAGATTAAATGTTGCGTTAAGACAGAATATCATCATTTTAGAATCATGTTGACATTTATATGGCTGCTTATAACTTTTAGAACCTTTGCCAAGACCATGGTGGCCTGAACTCACAGAATACCTGGTGGGAGCAGTATACAGTAGCGGTCTGCTGTGTACATCCGCGTGGCAAGAGATAGGAAGTCTATCCCTTGCCAGTATTGCTTGGAAGGGGAGGGATGCTGAGAATCTGGAACACTGAGTTCCCTGCTGTTCCTGGAGCAGAATCTTTCCATGAGTGGGAACAGACCTTCTGCCTCTCTTTTCAGAAGCATGACCCTTCAGCTTTTGTCCAGTCTAGCTTGTCTCTGTCCCTAAACTACCTGCTTGTGTCTGCCTCCATCTTACTGTTTCTCTCTTGCCCTACTTTCCTTGAATAATGAGTCTAAGTGTTCTTCAGTTCCAACTCCACCTACCTTCCATCCAGCTCAAGCCCTATTGATCCTTCCCCTGTCTCTGCCATTTCTCCTCTGATCTAAGTTTCCAGAACTTCTGACCAAGCTCCTTAACCCAGTGGCCCATCCAAGTCTCTTCTGTCTGGCTCCTGGTTTCAGCTCTATTCTCCTTCACCTCCCCTCTAGTTCTGGCTCTTGTCCTCTTTGCTGTTGAATCATGTTGCTGCTGTTCCTACTATCTCAGCGCTGCCAAAGGAGACAGTGAAACCCCAGGATGGAGAGCGTCACTTAATCTCATGTCTTGTTGCTCACTCTTATGCTGATCCACAGCAATCAAAAAGTGGTGTTGAGCAAACTTGTGTTCAGCTCCTTCACCTATGGGGTAACTCATGCCCACTCATGCCACATGGATTTTTGGAGATTTTCCCTAAAACTATTTCAGTTTAATGACAGCTAGTGTTGAATATATTTTGCAAATAATCACAGTGCCTTTTAGAAGAATATTTACCCACGTGATAAAGACTTGCAAATGTATGCTATTGCCTACATTATGTTTTGTTATCAGTTGTGATTATTGTTGTATTCCAAAAAAGCGTTGGGGGTGCCGTTACCAATTTTAGGAATTGTGTTCCCCATAGCACTGTACTGTTAAGTTCTGTGGCAAAAGATTATACTGTTATATTATCAGTTTGTGATAAGAGAGAAGACTCTATGTAGCATGCAATTAATGTTTATTCCTCTAACTTTTGGTGCATTGTAGTAAGGAGAAATTCTTTGTTACCAGCGAAATTGAGTAGTAATGGGAATTTTCAGTATTGCTGATGAATAAATCTCGGATCAGCACTTGATTCATTTCTCGTAACCAATTACTGCTGTGTGAATGATGTCCATCTTTTCCATGTGTGTTTTATTAAGCTCTGAAGATGATGCCTTCCTGTTATATGCCACTCTTAGATCAGGCAAACATTGCAAGTTTGTTACTAGAGACTTCCTCCGGGATCACAAGGCTTGTCTTTCTGACAGTGTGACACGTCATCTGTTCCGTAAGTGGCAGCGTGGACACCAAATAGTGTTTTCCCCCTCTGTAGAAGGAAAGCATATAAATTTTTTGGTAAGTTACCTGCTGCATTCAGAAAGAACACAGAGCATATTCACTAAAGGATATGCACATTTTCAAACTCAGTAAGCAAAAAGATTCTTGCTGAGGTCTAAGTAGTTTTGTACCAGTGTGCTTAAAACTCCCATTGTTACTGAAAATTCACTGTGTTCACAAGCATACCACAAACTGGAAAACTGACAAAATGACAAGACAGTGTTGCTTTAAATGTTTAAAATGTAGATAATTTTTGTGTATACAAATCTTTCCAGTCAGTAAAACATGAGTGCCAATTTTTCTGCGTTTGTTTTAAACTTAGAAATACCTTATTCTCCTCTGCAGCACTATTATTAAATACTATATTTCTAACTGTGTAATAGAATTTCTTTCATCTTTATTTTAAAGAAGGAGTCAAAGAGAAATGCAGGTATTTCAGTATTCACTGTAATATTTTTATAACTTTTTTTTTTTTTTTTAAGTTTCATGCAATGAAGGAAAGCCCAGAAGAGTCAGATTTGTAGTCAGTATTCAGCTGTAGAAATGGCACCCTTCCAAGCATAAGACATCTTTCTTAGCATAGTACTGTACTGTTTTTGTCTGGGAGACTTCAGTCCCTGTGAGCCATAAGCAGTTCATTAACTAGACTGCAGCTGTTCTGAAATATTTTTAAGGACTATCTGATTCATCATATGGTATTCCAGATCATGCACTTTTTTAATGTTTGATCTGTCTCCATTTTTATCAATGATTTAAAAGACTGCTGTGCATATGCAGATTCATTTTCTTGCTGCTCTGGTTAGAATTGTAAAATAATAATCATCACTGTGAGCAGACTGTAAAGATCCAGGCTTATCCAGGCCTTTCATCCCGTGTTGCTATATAGGAATCCAGATACTGGATATAGGGTTACCTGGGTTGCACAGCTTTGGCTACACCTTGTTTCTTTCTTTTGTTTTAGCGGGGCTAGTAATTTTCACATCCTAGTTCCTATACAAATGATTTTGCATGCTGGGCTTTTCCAGTCATAGGTATGTTCTAGGTTATTCTAGGAGCTGTAGTAGGGAAGTATCCTTCCAACACTGAGCGTATGGAGTGATAATATGTTCTAAGACCTGTAATTGCAAACCAATTCTTTTGTATTTGTGTTATATATAATGGGGTGGTATACCTGTAACATAATAGATTAGAAGAATGGTTTATTACATTTTTCTGACAGGACATGCTTGAAAGTGTTAGTGATAATTCCCTTTCTTGCATCAGCCTGAACACAAAGCAAAGAGGTACGCTGGACAAACAAACACAAGATGTCAGTAATGCAACCTATGATTTTACTGCAAACGTACAAACTCCACATCCTGAGTCAATCCCCATATGATTTCGTTCAACTGAACGGAAAAAATTCAGTTTGCTATTTCTGGAAACTGAATATATTCAAATAATTATTATCTGGTAGAGACTGAAGGCAGAACTTTAACCGTTTATAATGAGTCCAAGGCCACAAACTACTGGAAGATGTTTTCCATTTTCCTCCTTTATTTGCTAAAATTTAGAAGTTGTTTGCTGTTGGGAAATAAATGAGAGTTTTTGGGATGAATGGATACTGTCATATTTGATCTGTATAAATCTTTTAAACACATAGAAATGAAAAGCAAGCTGTATAGAACAAAAGATATGAGGAATATGGGTCATGGTCCAGGGAGAAAGAGAAAAGTAAATAGAAAGAACCTTGAAGTCAACAAAGAGAGCCCTGCTGTAGTGCTTTTCACTTTTGCAGGATATCAGTAGAAAGACACCATCAGGCACGCTAAATGTGTTTGGTATTTTGTATGATATACACAGGTGATATAAAATGTTCAGTGAAATGGTCAAGAGTAAAAATTTCAAAAGTTACTGATGGGTACTTAGCATGCTCTTACTCCTTGTACTTACTATTCTGTAGAAGTGTGTTAATAATAACTGTGGAGATTTCTAAGGGAATGTTGCAAGTTATAACTAGCTATACTATAACTGGTAATTTAGTAATACATTGTGTAAAGTCTATAAAAATGCTTTTCTCTGTCTTTATCCAACAGCCTGCTTTCAATTATGACTGTGTGGTACAGACTACAGGCGATACATGGCATATCCCCTATAAAGACACTTTTGAGGAGCGATATTCATATCGAGTACCAAGAAAATGGCTCTGTCTTCAACAGAAGTAATGAAGAATGTACTTGTAAAAGCTGAAGCATCATTTTTTTATTACTGTTGCTGACAGTACTGTTGCTGTGCTGTTAGACCTCAGCAGTGCAATTACAGGATTAATGGGTGAGGCCTGTAGCTGAAAAAATATTCAGTGGTTGCATTTTGTCAAAATCATTCCAGCAGTAAATCTGTTAACATCAATGGTGGTCCAGCAGGGATGAATTGGGTCTGTTGTTTCCATCTGTACAGGCCATTTCTGTAGCTTCCCAATGTGATTTGAATTAAAATTTATTTTTTCATCTTGGAATTTCAGGTTGTGTTCCTTTTTTGCTCAAGCTTTTCATCTACACTGAAAATCATAAACTCTGTACTTCAAATAAATCAGTCATAACTTGCAGAATACCCGCAAAATTGGCATGCTGACCTTGCAACCATGTTGCACACTGTGTCCAATAAATGGAGCTGACTGGGCCAAGTGGTGTTTAACATTTGCCAAACATAGTTCTAATACTTAATAACAACATATATTGAGATTTTGTTTGGAAGAATAAGGAAACAATAAGTGTAAGGAACCGTGTGGCTCTTTCACAGTCTTAAACGTGCTGCTTCTGAGAGGATTTCATGCCTCTGGAATAGTTTGCTTATGTAAATGTGTGAATTTTCTAAACAGAAATTAATCATAGCTAGAAATTCATTACAGGCAGTAACAGGACAAAACTGAATTTTGTACAGACATTTCTATAAAATCTATCCCAAATTGTAAGCAATAAAAAAATATTATATATTACAGGAAAAGTACTCTAAGTTATTATTTGTAAATGTCTGTATGGCAAACATGCATTTGTTTATTCTGCCTACCACTTCTGTGCAAACCTCTCTCTCCAGAAAAACAGATAGAAATGCCTCATAATCTCTGCTGAAGGATCACCAGGTTGATAGCAAAGTGGAGGTAAAAGCAGGCTTCTCCCCTATTTAGGAAAACAGTTGTGTCCAGTTGTTAAAACTGTTGTATTTAAAATAGCATTTAGAGGCACCAGTCAGAATCCATGGCCCCAGTGTGCTAACTTTGTTTAAATATACCCCCACAGCCTTGAAAAGTTTACAGTGATTTCTTATAATGCCTGAAAATGTAACGTGCATAATTTTTATTAGTTAGAAAACGCTTGTTTTTTTTCTTAAACAAACTTTCAAGTATAGTTTGGCTGTGGAATCAACACCTTGATATGGTGTAAAGAGCAAGTACCTTTCTCCAAAAAAATACGATTCAGTGTAATCTCTGTAATGTTTCTGTTAGTGTCGCATTTGTCTTGCACACTAAAAAGTCCTCGGTTTGAAACTGAGCTGAATCATATAGATCTCTTTGTATATTATTTGCAGGTCCGAGCTCCGGGAGCGTTCCCGGACAAACTCCCTCAGGAGTTTGTCCCTCAGGACTCGTAGAGTTCAGGCATGTTCTCTGCTATTTCTTTCATGTTAGAGAGCGCTATCCCAATTCTTGTTCTACTCCTGATGCTTGTGATACCAGTTTGTAAATGAGCAGGTGTGGTTTGCATGCAGGTGTGTTCTTCAGGGACTGTGCAAAAAGTGCCGAGGAGCTGGATACCTCTTAAGATAACCTAGAACCTTAGCTTTTAAATTCATCATGTTGTTGGTAGCGTTCATCAGAGACCCCTTTTCTAGCATAGCATGCCAGCTCCTATAGGTCATTGACTTTCTAGAGTCCTCTAGGGTATACAGAGAGATTGGGTCTTCTCTTGCTCCTCAAATGTATTTACTTCTAATTTATCAGATGATTGTTTTGACACTTCTCTAAGTCAAAGAACTGCCACACGTCCCTGACAATGCAAATATTGCTTTGTTCACGTAAGTGTCCTCTGCTATACAGGGGTGCTTAGCTAGCAACCATTGCTCTGTGTTGGGTTACTTATTTCACTCCCTCCCTAATAAGCTCCACAACAGAATAAGCTGGTCTGAATCAGTGCTGCTGTGGTCAGAGCAGGGTACTACCTCTGGTGCCTGCTGTGGTCAGAGCAGGGTACTACCTCTGGTGCTAACACAGTCCTATGGATAATCATTCAGAGCTGTCAGCTAAGCGCAAACCCTGTAAAAAGTTGTTTTGGCTTTGCCAAAATTGGCATCGTTGAACTGAACTAGCACCCTCGCAGAAGCACTGCTGTGTGGGAGACCATCTTTAATGGTGTTGATTAGACTGACAGGTCCAATTTGAATCCAGCGTTGATTAGATTGATGGGTTCCCTTTGAATGTCACGCAAGTCCCCAGACGTTTCACCAGTTAGTACCCCCGTGGTCATGGCAAACAACAGTAGCTGGCCCCTTGCTAGCATGCTGAATAAAGAGAACAGGAATCAAATGGAACTAACGTGTAACTTAGCCTTTCACGTATCATGGAGATGGAATCACACAGAAAAGACAGGCTTGAGGAAGACTGAACTGATTCAACCTGTGTCATAGCTATTTTGTGAAGTTTCATCTCCAAGAACATGAATTTATTATTTATTATGTTAAAAAGATCTCAGAAGAGCTTTTCTGTGTAATCCAGTAGCGCAGACTCTGACTAATATGGTTGATAAGACTTGATGAATGCTACATCAGCAATATTTATTGACTGCTCTTCTGAAACAAAACCATATTTTGGAAGTCGACTAATTGCTACACAGATGGGAAGAACTGTTGAAGCTATATCTTGAATACAGTATCACTTCTGCTATGTCATGTCCATGGCATTGAGTAACTTTTTAATCTAACCTTGGTCTGAGTCAGATATTGAATCTTCCGTTCCAAAGTCATAGGACTTTCTGACATGGTTAGTTTTTGGCAAACAAAACCATATTTTGGAAGTCGACTAATTGCTACACAGATGGGAAGAACTGTTGAAGCTATATCTTGAATACAGTATCACTTCTGCTATGTCATGTCCATGGCATTGAGTAACTTTTTAATCTAACCTTGGTCTGAGTCAGATATTGAATCTTCCGTTCCAAAGTCATAGGACTTTCTGACATGGTTAGTTTTTGGCAATCGGGCTGAATGTTAGGTAATTAGCGGATGTTATCGCTAGGCCACTCTCCATCATCTTGGAAAGGTCCTGGAGATCAGGAGAGGTGCCTGAGGACTGGAAGAAAGCCAATGTCACGCCACTCTTCCAAAAGGGCAAGAAGGAGGAGCCAGGAAACTACAGGCCTGTCAGCCTCACCTCCATCCCTGGAAAGGTGATGGAACAGCTCCTCTTGAAGGTCATCACTAAGCATCTGGAGGACAAGAAGGTGATCAGGAGTAGTCAGCATGGATTCACCAAAGGGAAATCATGCTTGACCAATCTGATAGCCTTCTATGACAGAATGACTGGCTGGGTAGATGAGGGCAGAGCAGGGGATGTTGTCTTTCTGGACTTCAGCAAGGATTTTGACACTGTCTCCCATCACATCCTCCTAGGTAAGCTCAGGAAGTGTGGGCTAGATGAGTGGACGGTGAGGTGGCTTGAGAACTGGCTGGATGGCCGAGCTCAGAGGGTTGTGGTGAATGGCGCAGAGTCAAGTTGGAGGCCTGTGGCTAGTGGTGTCCCCCAGGGGTCAGTCCTGGGTCCAGTCTTGTTCAATATATTCATCAATGACCTGGAGGAAGGGACAGAGTGCACCCTCAGCAAGTTTGCTGATGATACTAAACTGGGGGGAGAGGCTAACACACCAGA